GAGAGCAAGAAACCACTGCCTGGGGAGACTTGAAGTGGGGAAGCGTCACAGCAAAGCCGTCCTAAATGGCTGCATCTGGAGCCCCCAGTTAGAGAACCACAAAAAGAGGCACCCCTGAGCCATAAACTGGTGTAGTCAAGGGTGTAAAACCTCTGCAGGCTTACCTATCCTTGCCAGAAGGAACTACATAAAATAAAGAAACTGGTTGGAAGAAGTGAGAATCAAATACAAAGGAAAATACTTGCAAACAACAGGGAGATACCGTCTAGCCAGTGTGGATGTGTGGCTCCTAGCAAAAGAGGTCCTAATGCAATACCATGGGGAACCTGCAGGAGGATGGTTTAACAGCAAAGCGAGCTAGCCAAAATACAAATAAATAGTAAAATTAAAATGAATAAAACGGAATAAAATAAAAATTCTTCAAAAACTGGCATTTTCTTTTTCAAACCAGGAAAACAGCAACATGCAAAACCCCCAGCAAGTTAAAAACCGCATTCACACAGATGAAAATGTATTTTGAGCACGATTTGCTTACCACATAAAAATTAACACCAGTGTATTTTTGCAAACCCATCAGAAGCAGGACGTCCGCTGGAAACCCACTGCAGCTGGCGGGGGACTGGGCTGGTGCGTGCTCGGGGCAGAGCCCGCACCCGCAGCGGGATGCAGGCAGCAGGTCCCCCACCTCCCCAGCACGGGAGAGGGAGGTGGCAAACGCCGGGCTAATTTTTAGGAAGGCTCCACAGGGATCCAGGAAACACTGGGATCTTAAACCTGGCTTTGGTTTTCGCTCAGGCAAATTTGCTGAAAGATGGAAGAAAAAATGGCATTAGAACATGTATGAATAAACATGCAACGCTGAGACAACGTCCGGCACAGGCTGGAGGAGGGAAGTCTTGCTAGAATTACGTGGAAGATGTAAATAATGGTGAATCAGATGATATATAAACAACGATTTTTGCAAAACTTTGACAAAATCTCTCTCCAAAAGCTCTTCAGGACGTTAAGGTGGATTAACAGTGAGGTTTTGCTTGTAAACTAACTGCTTAAAAGTAGGAATAAATGGACAGGATCTGTGCCAGACCTGTGCTAGTCAACACACGCATAAAAGAGAGCAGATCTTGCTGACACTATACAGTGTTTCGATGGTCAAATCTAAAGCTGACGGTGAAGAGCTGGAAAGGGATCGCACGATGTCAAGCGGCTGAGCAGGCAGACATCAAATGCAATTCAATATAATTAAATTCGAGGCAAGGTAAAAGTAACCCTATGTGTACACAGCCATGGGCTCTAAATGAGCTTTGTCATTCAGGAAAGAGATGCTGGAGTCCTTGCAGGGGCTTCGCCTGCATGCTCTGCGGTGGTAACCAAGGGAAAAGGGCATCAGGAAGGAATTGCTGATGGGATTGCTGTGATGTGCGAGCACGGCTAGGGCAGCTGGCAGAGGACAGGGCAGTGAGGCAGAGAAGCAGCCGAGCAGGGAGACGGAGCAGCTCCCACGGGGGAGAGACCCGGTGCACACCGCAGCCTGGCAGGGCCACAGGGAAGGGACCTGGTAAGGGGTCACTGAGAGGGGGAAAAAGGGAAGGAATATTTTCATTTCCTAGAGCAGAGCTTCAAAGAGCACCACAGGGCTGGATCTGGTTCAAAACGACGGGAAGCACTTTTCAAACCGTGCATTACCATGCTGTGGGAGGCTGCCTCTGCTGCGGAGATCAAGCATGCAAATGCATTCAAAAGGAACAGGAGGGCGCGCAGAGGGTTGGTTTGCTGGGGCTGTGGCAAGTCCAGGATGCTCCCAGGCCGCTCCTGGCTGAAGAGGACAAGGACAAGGTCCCCGTTGCTTGCTCTGACTCAGCCTTTGAATGGTCCCAGGTCTCCCCACCCTGGTCCTACCCCGCTGCGGCTGCGCTCCCCCAGTGTCCAGAGCCTGGTACCTGCCCCAAGTAAGCAGCAAAGCTCGACCTCAGGGTCTGCTCCGCCCTGCTCTCCGGAGGCTCTCCAGGAGTCGGTCCCCCTCTGCAGCCCAAAAATCCAGGATGGTTTTCAATGCCCGAGGCAGGAAAGAGGGAGCAAATTCCTGCTGAGCCGAGACCAGGTGGAAGATGCAATGCCGACGAACACAATCCCCTACAGCATAACTGCAGGCACCCAGCTCGCCCTGCCGCACTGCTGATGCAAATTACCAGTTATGAAGTAGAGAAAATTGCTATCTATTTCCCCTTTCATCCATCTATTATGGCTTTCTTTTTTATTGCTAATTATTACTTTCAATAAGTCACTGAAGTAGGGTGGGGGTTTCTCTTCTGTGATGCTAGCTTGATGGCTCTTGGAAATAAATCTTAAAGAATTGTCTTTTTCCACAATTTTCTGTCTGCCTTTTCCCATCACTGTTTTTTCTCCGCGTTTTTCTTGTCTTTATGGAGTTTGACTTTTTAAAGCACCATGTATTTTTGTCTACTGAATGGATTATTCTCTGCCCAAATTGAATGTAATCAGGTCGTGATCATTGTTCCCTAGGCAACCACCAATGAAATTATAGAGCTATGATCATGAATTAACACTGTTTAAAAAGTTTTAAAAAAATAAAACAGTAACTGCAAGGCTTAATAAATCATTGCTGAAACAAGGCATTCACAGTGGTGCCACCAGTCACCATGGAGGGCTTTAGCACTTGGAGAACGTTAGGAACAGGTTCTGGTGTTCGGAGGGGCTGGGAGGAGGCGACCAGTCCACGGCAGGATGAGGTCTGTGCAGAATACCTTGTCCGGAGACGCATCTTCCAAGCCCCAGGGCGCTGTGGTAGGCTCAGTCATGGGGTTGATACCCCATACGTTATTTTATTCTACCTTCTGCCGCCGCTCTCCTCACCATCCGCACACGGAGCTCATTCCTCATTCCCCACTCAGCTACTGTGAGAGCAACTGCCGCCACTCGGCTCTTCATCGTGTGAGCCGTCGCCTTCCAGTTCCCCCTCGCCCCTGTTCGCACCCCTTGGCCGTGGTGTTCGGACGGCTTACTGGGACAGGCTTAGAAAAAGCAACGTCATTACACGCGAGATATAGTCTGGGACAAGAAACCCCGGGTCCCCGCTGTGCACGCCTCACCCGCCGCCTTCTCCCCCGAGCCACGGGGCCTCGCGCGCCGGGCACCTTCCCCAGGCAAAGCTCAGCCTCATCCCTCCCGTCGGGAAAGGTCTAGGTCTACCTGTGTTTATTTTATGGCAATACATCGGTGCGTTTATAGGCGTACAACGAGGGATGGTATATGCGCACACCCCCCCTGAATATAGAGTTAGCCCTCCTGGCCCTACGCCACCGCTTAGCACTCATTAACTTGGGAGAACCTGTTCTGTAGTCCTAAGGTCGTTTTTAAGTAGCTTGCTGATGTCGTGCCTTAGGTAACAAACGAAGAGCGGGACCCCCGAGGGAAGCACTGGGGACATCGCCTGCTCCTGCTCCTGCCTGAGGGAGCCCTGAGGAGACCCGCGAG